TCTATCTATCTATCTATCTATCTATCTATCTATCTATCTATCTATCTTTACATTTCTTATATTACGACTTTTCAAAGGACACTCTGAAATATAAAGTTTATAACTAACGGCTATTAATATGTCAATCACAAATTACAATTACAATTACAAAATTTCCATTCTATGGCTGTAAAACTGGATGTTAAGGCTGTTATTCGAGTCATTTATCTAATTTTATTTGAATAAATTAAAGACGCTGATGGTATCAGAAAGCTGAAAAATCCAAAGAAATATTTTTTGTTAAGTTGTCTAGATGTATGCTTTAATGATTCATTGGTCAGTCTTGCAGTTTAAAATCAATTTAAAAACAAAAAAAAACAATAAATAAAGTCTTCCACAGATAATCGGTTACAAGGAGTTAAGTAAAAAATCTGCTTATATCTAAATAAAAACTTTCAAAGCCAGTTCAAGTCAATAATTTCCCAATTCTGGGATCAATAAAGTACTTTTCTTATCTCATCTTTGGACTGTTGTGGCAGATCTCTTTAAAAAGACACTCAGAAAACTCACTTTTTGAAAACAAAAATGGATTTATTACCAAACTATTAGCCCTATTGGACTCACCCGTTTGTAGATGGCAAATATGGTGCCGATAGAAGCCAAACAGTCGATGTTACTGGACCCGTCCAGAGGGTCGAAACACACCACGTACTTTCCCTTAAAGGGGAATAAAAACTGTTAAATGCTAATAAAAATGAGAATATCACATATAAAAACACAGGTCCTCAGTTTAATCGAGTTAATCTGATCTGGCTGTTATTTTTCTTTACATACTGGCACTTTGTGCCCTATTTTCTCTATTTTTACACACAGAAGCATAACAATATTACTTTGGTAATTTATCCCTTTAAAGCCTGATCCAAGGATTAAACAAAAAACAAATTTACTTTTTTTTTGGTTTGAATTCCTTATTTGGCCTTTTAACAAAATATGTAAAAAGAAAAAACTGAAATACATTTTTCATATTAATAATTTATTACTATGCGATAAGTCCAGATTATTTTTGTGTAGTCTTCTGGCCCCTGTTATCAGGTGTATCTGATTGTGTACAATAGGATTTTGAGCAAAGTTTTTACCATTAAATTATGCAAAAGGTGTCAGACGCAAAACATTTCAGAATAAATTTTCTACCTCCACCTCTATCTCTATCTCTACCTCTATCTCTACCTCTATCTCTACCTCTATCTCTACCTCTACCTCTATCTCTATCTCTATCTCTATCTCTATCTCTACCTCTATCTCTACCTCTATCTCTACCTCTACCTCTACCTCTACCTCTATCTCTATCTCTATCTCTACCTCTATCTCTATCTCT